GGGCGGTCCGCCCGGCCCCCGGCCCGCCGCCGCAGCAGCCCGGTGAGGGCCACCTTCGCAAACGCTTGTTTGAAAACTCCTCCTCAAAAAGCGCTTTAATACAGAAAACTTTCGTTCGAGACCAAAACACCCTGAGGTGGATGCAAAGATGACATCTGCTAAGTAAGTTTGTTGACAACATATCCCTATCAAAAGTAGTTTCAGTCATCTTCGTCCTTAAGTATAAAGACAAGATTCAGGTGCTGGTATGTATTAAAAGGCAATTATAAAAATTAACTTACCAAGTAAAGATCCCAATACAAATAACTGCTAAGAATCTAATACAATTCCAGGATATAAGAACACCTACAAGTTTCATGTGTGTTGTAGATGGTTGCATGTCTGAGGCAAACTTCTGTGCTAGGAAAAATAAGTTACTTCTGAAGGACGTCACTGAAGGTCAAAACAAGCATGACTCGGCAGGAATGAGGGCCTTAACGTGAAAAATAGTTTGATCTTATTTGAAGAGATTTCAGGCCCCGAATCTGAAAGGTTTAGGCATCTTTATGATAAGTTTGGGTTAGCATACCGGAAGTCTAATCCTAAGGTATTTAAATACAAAAGTATGTTTAGAATACAGGGAAGCACTGGGAATGTGGCAAGGGGAGAACCAGGGCCTTTGTGTAAAAGAACAAAGAGAGTAAAAATGTATCTCCCAAAACATGAGCTTGGATACTTCTCTGGCCTGGGGCTGTGTCCTGGATGTACTCGCAACTTTGTAAATGAAGAAATGTTCCATTCATAAATCTCAAGTTTTTTTCAGCTTCAGAAATTCCTTTGCCTCACACAGTTGGTGAAGAAATTGCAATAAAAACAAATTGGATGACTGTACAAGGTTTGAGCTGGGAAGAAGGCCAGATGTTTTGAGTCTTATACTAGTAACAAGATGGTCACCTTAACGTGCCATGGGACTCGTAGAAGAATAAGTAAAAAAGCTAAGAATGAGGGCCGCAGCTATTGTACGTGACGTAGAACTGCCAACCCCAAGCATCTGAAAATGAATCAGCCGTACAAAATCATAAGACTGACTTTAAAATAATAATACTGAAAAAAATAGACTTTGGTTCTTCTCTTGGTTTGGAATAAAAGGGTCATGCCGTGTGTATATGTTTCTCCCACAGTAACTCTGAATGCCTTCATCAGCTGCTGTCAGGCTACACCCAGACAAACCATCTGCCACCCAGGAAACAGCATTCTGTAAGTGTCTGTAAGTCTGACTCATGTTTGCCCTGCCCGCATGATATGTGAGGAAGGGACACCTGTTATTCCTGGACATTCAGTACACTCATTGATTGCTGACATGTTAGTTCTGCTCCTTTTCTCCTGTTCCCCTAGTCTTTCTCCCAGTCACCTCCCTGAACTTGGCCAAACTTTCTGCCTTCCCGTCCCGGAGTTTGCCCTACAATAGGGGCTCTTTGTCGGCCCTCTAATCATAACTGTGCCCCTGCCTGTTGGACTCGGGAATCCCATGGCTTCTTGGAGTCTTGGTCTCAGCTTGGCAAATGAATCTTGTCTCCGCACTTCATTCATGTCAATTCTAACCCCTGGACACAAGAGCTCTCATGCTTTTGCTGGCTTTTTACCAACCATGACAAAAGAATATGGGTCTCAAAGGTAACTGAGCTTCTGCGGTTTTCTTTCATGAAAACAGGCAGCTCTGATTGCCCCAAGTGAATAAAAGGCTGTAGTCTGAGTTCATGTTTTATGAACACCTGAGGATTCACATGGAAGGGAGACCTTAAAAATGCCTTAACAAAGCAAAAGCTTCTATTAGCAATGACATACAAATCCATAAAAACCTAGGCCGCTTGTTCTAAATGGTCATGGAACTATTTAAATGAGCTTTTCTTTTG